CACACACACACACACACATAATGCACACACACTCACCTTTATCCACTTGAATAAAGAATAAAAGTAAATATAAATATAAAGAACAAATTTAGATTCATGTAAAATCATAATCATTGCCTTGATCAGCAATTCTCTGCCACACTAACTCTCTCTCTTGCAGAAGCAACAGTATTTCTTTTTTTATTTATTTATTTTAATATATGTTTCATTAATATTTCTAGTTCCAGCACTGAGAAATAGACTTCCAGTCTTATTATTTTCTCCCGTAGCCATGGTGAATCGTGTTATCTGACTTCCATTGATGAGGGCTTCGTGCTCCAACTTAACTCAGGGGTAACTTGACTCAGGGTTAAGTTATCCAGCTGATATCACCTGTTCTGAAACTGAAAATCCTGAGTATCACAGAGCGGGGTAAGTTGATTCAGAGTAGCTGCATTAATCCAGGGTTTGTTAAGCCTGCTTTYTGAAACGGGGCCCTGGTATCAGCTTTGCTAATAGTTACTGATTTTATAAGCTAGATCCAGGATTAAGCCCCCCCACTCCTTCTTTGTGCACATATTTGACAAAAACAACACATCTAACCTTATGTTCAATAATACTAGTTGGCCTTGGACAGTTTAAGGCRTGTGCAATAAACTAACACAAGTGATAACAAAATGCTATCAAAAGTGCTATAGAAGCTATCACTTTAATGTGCATATAAATATATATGACAGTATATGTTGCCAAACAGACGGACTCTTAATGGTCACCTGATTTAGATGATGGTATCAGATGTAAAAAGGAGGAGGGAGGAAAATGTGGGTTTGTTTCTACCGATGTTATCAAGCAATATTGCAATTGCATGTCCTAACACTGTGCAGTATTTCTCCCACAACGGGCTGATATAAAGGGTTATTCTTTACAAACCTACTCACTGCAGGAGAAGAAAATATGTTGTTCTGTGGGAGGTGAAAATGCAAACTGTGAGCAACAAGAAGAGCCTGGAAGCCTACTTGTGTTAGCCGAGATTAATAAAATGTCAGTTTCATAGAAGAAGCAGTTTCCAGCTAAGATATATGTTCTGCTTTAAGAAGAATGACCCAAATCAGTAGCAAAATTTGGTATTTATTTTTGCTGCTGACAGGAAAACAACCTGCAAAATAGTCCTGATAAAACATAGCCCTAGCTTTCAATACTGTTTCCCTAAAGCTATATTGTGTTATAAACAATATGTATATTGGATAAGCAGGACTAAAGGAAGAGCTTGCCCAGTGTGGAAAAAAAATCCCCAAGACTGCCATCAAAGCTTTATTCTACACCAACCTCTGATAGGTTAAGCACAGCACAGAACCAGCATTCAACTCTCAGCAGAGCAGCTCAATAAATATTAGATGATGTCTGTTAAAGTGACCATCAAATACTGACTGAGGGGAGCCGTAAAGAGGGGAATATGCCAAATAGTCTCAGAGGACACTGGGAGAAAATAGTAGCGAGTGAATGCGAGTGGATCCACTGATGTTTTGCGTGTGCGTTCAGACGCATGAAACTTCAGTTCCTGTCAGAGCATGTGAGACGAATGCTCGCTGGCTGTGAAACAACGAGTCCGTGTGGAGCTGGGTGAGGTGCAGCTGCAGGGCCAGGAGAACGGATTACAGCAAGCTGGGCGTTGACCATCCACTTTGTCCCCTTTGTGAAACCGCCTCATCAGGTTTTAGATTTTGTTCTGTCTGAGTTCCTGTGTACGTGTGCTGCCAGGCCTTTGCTGGGAAACATCTGTATATTAACAGAAACGTCTACGAATGTCCATTTCCCTAGCATCTGGATAGTCTGACACTTGAATGGTTTTCCACTGTGAGGCTCCACAAACTGACCATTAACTGGCATAAACAGATAACCAGTGAGCAGATTATAATTTCATATTAAATTAAGTAAAGATGCAACGATTCTTGAAGGAGTGCATATTGCCCAACACCTTGTAAATGATATTTTGCATGATGTCACGCAAGATCTCTCAAGATGCATTAACTCTTTGAGGATGTGTTAAAGATGGGGTTGGGCAAAATTGTATTTTACACACAAAAAACAGATCGTTGGATTTACTTAACCAAGTAATGTCAACAATTAACGTAAAGCAACTTTCACATTTATTTTTAAAGAAAACATGAAAGTCACTTGGAGTAAATTGGTCGACATAACTTGGTTAAGTAAATCCAACACATCAGTTTTTTTTTAGTGTATGAAATCAATCCAAAAATGTAATCAGTTGTGAGCATGCAATGAATATTTTCAGAGTTTCATTAAATTCATCCAATGGCTCATGAGATATTTTGCTAACAAACAGCTTTAACTCTAATAGATATTAGCAGAGATTTGTGCAAATATGTCACAAAATGTGTAACAGAATTTCTGTTAAGTGTCTCTCAGCGACTGCTACAACAAATCTTAGCATAAAATCTGTAAAACTGACTCATTTATTGCAATTTATGTGCTTTGTAAGATCATCTGGTTGTGACGGCCATCTTGAATTAGGTTGATTCTAAAAGTTGATGAGTTTTATAAAAATATCCATAAATTACTAACTGGATGTTTAATTGGTTCATTAGATATTCTACACTAAGACATAATGTTTAATGCTGTTGCATCAAAATAATGATTCAGAGTTAGTTTAGCTTATTAAAAATGAATCCTGGTGAATTTTCTAAGAAATGAAATATGACTTAGTTCGTTACTCTGTTCTGCAGCCTAGCTCTGACAGAGGTTTCGATTTTACCGCTGACTTGGCTCTGAGTGTGATAAGTGTGCTGCCTTATCGTTTCCCACAGAAACGAGCAGCTAATGATTTGTCTGTGAGCGTGGGAACCAGGAACAGACTGAACACAGGGACAAAAACCTACATGCATTCATCTAGTTGGAATCTGTTGAGGGTTTTATGGTTAAAAAGGCAAAA